AAAGTAAATGGATATAGGCCTACTGCAGCTCTGATTGGTTATGCCGCCCGGTCTGTGTAGAGTACAGGCTGAGTCATGTGTGTCAATGCAGTAGAATCCTACTCTGATGCATTCTGCCTACAACAAAATCTCTTGCATAGTTAGTTTTGCATACTAAATCTTGCATAGTTCATTCTGATGTACTGAAAGTGGCTAAAATGGCTTGCGTTGATTCGATCACAATTGCCACAGTAAAAGGAAACGTTGATAGTGTTAACTAACAGGGAAAACTCTAGAAAGTTGAGTGAAATTCAATCTCATGTTTCTCTCAGTGGGCTGACACTGTATTTCGGGGCTACTGCGCGCCCACGCACAGTTTAGAGGGAACATTGGTTGGTGGTTCAGTAACCAAAAAAGGTTGAGAACCACTGCGCTACACCATAACCTCATTTGAATTAATGGGCACCCAACAGAATGCGATCTTCCTTTGTGCAGGCAATTATTAATCACTGGCAGAAACAAATTACCTTCCTCTATCCACCTCAGTGATGTTGTTAATCATGCAGGAAACAGGTACAGGGAAGGAGGACTTCCATGCGTTTTAAATTACAACATTGATTTGTGGTCTGAGTGTCTGAAACCAACATTTCCTTCAACGTATTTTACTGAACGAACTGTACACAGATTAAAATGTATACTGTTGCAAAATAATAACCAGCATCTGTATACTTCTCTTACCATGACATGCTACTGTTGAAGGCCCTGCTTTTCACATGGGAGTCACAAATATGTGACTTTTAGGATGTTAAGCCAACTATCTCTTACACTGTGTGTATAAAATGATTGTTATGCACAATGTGCTGGTTTCATAAACATTTTGGATGTAGTGTGTTATAGACAAGTATTTATATTGCCTTAACAGACACTAGGTTATAGAACCACCAACACTGATCTAGTATATATTTTCCCTTTGAAGACTATTACCTGTCATGCTCCATGTGAAATATGAGTTATATGGCTCTCTGTTGGACAAACAGATGTCCACTGCTTGGGGGCTTGGGTACAACACATAATGACAGTGTGAAAAGGTATAAGTAAGGAGTTGCTGGAGTGTCAGATAAGCCTGGTCTTTCATGCCCATAAAAAGTCAGCTGTGACGCCATGTATTGTTGGGAAGGGCCCGTAAGGAACTGTTAGTCTACACCTGTTATTTACGAAGCATGTGACAAATAACATTTGATTTCATTTGAAAAGGTCATGTTCCTCAGTCCTCAGTCGAAAACTAAACTACTCCCAGTTGTCTTCTCAGATATCAGTTATGTGGGCAAACAGAATAATAAGATGGCTGTTTTAATGTGTGCATGTACAGTGAGGGAAGAAAGTATTTGATCCCCTGCTGATTTTGTACGTTTGCCCACTGACAAAGACATGATCAGTCTATAATTTTAATGGTAGGTTTATTTGAACAGTGAGAGACAGAATAACAACAAAAAAATTCAGAAAAACGCATGTAAAAAATGTTATAAATTGATTTGCATTTTAATGAGGGAAATAAGTATTTGACCCCTCTGCAAAACATGACTTAGTACTTGGTGGCAAAACCCTTGTTGGCAATCACAGAGGTCAGACGTTTCTTGTAGTTGGCCACCAGGTTTGCACACATCTCAGGAAGGATTTTGTTCCACTCCTCTTTGCAGATCTTCTCCAAGTCATTAAGGTTTCGAGGCTGACGTTTGGCAACTCGAACCTTCAGCTCCCTCCACAGATTTTCTATGGGATTAAGGTCTGGAGACTGGCTAGGCCACTCCAGGACCTTAATGTGCTTCTTCTTGAGCCACTCCTTTGATGCCTTGGCCATGTGTTTTGGGTCATTGTCATGCTGGAATACCCATCCACGACCCATTTCCAATGCCCTGGCTGAGGGAAGGAGGTTCTCACCCAAGATAGATTTGACAGTACATGGCCCCGTCCATCGTCCCTTTGATGCAGTGAAGTTGTCCTGTCCCCTTAGCAGAAAAACACCCCCAAAGCATAATGTTTCCACCTCCATGTTTGACGGTGGGGATGGTGTTCTTGGGGTCATAGGCAGCATTCCTCCTCCTCCAAACACGGCGAGTTGAGTTGATGCCAAAGAGCTCGATTTTGGTCTCATCTGACCACAACACTTTCACCCAGTTCTCCTCTGAATCATTCAGATGTTCATTGGCAAACTTCAGACGGCCCTGTATATGTGCTTTCTTGAGCAGGGGGACCTTGCGGGCACTGCAGGATTTCAGTCCTTCATGGCGTGGTGTGTTACCAATTGTTTTCTTGGTGACTATGGTCCCAGCTGCCTTGAGATCATTGACAAGATCCTCCCGTGTAGTTCTGGGCTGATTCCTCACCGTTCTCATGATCATTGCAACTCCACGAGGTGAGATCTTGCATGGAGCCCCAGGCCGAGGGAGATTGACAGTTATTTTGTGTTTCTTCAATTTGCGAATAATCGCACCAACTGTTGTCACCTTCTCACGAAGCTGCTTGGCGATGGTCTTGTAGCCCATTCCAGCCTTGTGTAGGTCTACAATCTTGTCCCTGAAATCCCTGGAGAGCTCTTTGGTCTTGGCCATGGTGGAGAGTTTGGAATCTGATTGATTGATTGCTTCTGTGGACAGGTGTCTTTTATACAGGTAACAAGCTGAGATTAGGAGCACTCCCTTTAAGAGTGTGATCCTAATCTCAGCTCCTTACCTGTATAAAAGACACCTGGGAGCCAGAAATCTTTCTGCTTGAGAGGGGGTCAAATACGTATTTCCCTCATTAAAATGCAAATCAATTTATAAAACATTTTACATGTGTTTTTCTGGATTGTTTTGTTGTTATTCTGTCTCTCACTGTTAAAATAAACCTACCATTAAAATTATAGACTGATCATTTCTTTGTCAGTGGGCAAACGTACAAAATCAGCAGGGGATCAAATACTTTTTTCCCTCACTGTATATCATACAGAAATGATTCGTTACAGTAATTGTTGTGGGCTATTTACTTAATTATCTTGTTTATATTCTCTGTTCAACATTGAGTAATAAACAGCACAGCAACAAACAATATGTTGCTAATATTTTCAAACAGCCCTTTTGCTTTGAGCTCAATATGTGAAATAATAATAGTATGAACAAATTCCCTATCTCAGTTTGTGTGAGAGAGAGAGAGAGAGAGAGAGAGAGAGAGAGAGAGAGAGAGCGAGAGAGGAACAAACACCATTGTAAATACAACCCATATTTATGTTTATTCATTTTAGCTTTTGTACTTTAACTATTTGCACATCATTACAACACTGTATATAGACATAATATGACATTTGAAATGTCTTTATTCTTTTGGAACTTTTGTGAGTGTAATGTTTACTGTTAATTTTTTATTGTTTATTTCACTTTTGTTTATTACATATGTTTGCCATGCCAATAAAGCCCCTTAAATTGAAATTTGGGCGGCAGGTAGCTTAGTGGTTAAGAGCGTTGTGCCAGTAACCGAAAGGTCGCTGGTTCTAATCCCAGAGCTGACTAGGTGAAAAATCTGTCGATGTGCCCTTGAGCAAGGCACTTAACCCTAATTGCTCTTGTAAGTCGCTCTGGATAAGAGCATCTGCTAAATGACTAAGAAAAAAAATAAGAAAAAAAAATGAGAGAGAGAGCAAGAGAGAGACAGAGTCTGTAAGTAAATCTGATCAACTCCATTTAGTATGATATGTTACATTTGGTATGGTTAGATAAGACAGATGGTTACTTAAGGCAAAATGAAAAGAGGGTGGTTGGTCGGGGTGGGTGAGTAGGCATATAATGCAAACGTCTAGCAACCCAAAGGTTGTGGGTTTGAATCTCATCACGGACAACTTTAGCATTTTATCAATACTTACTACTTTTTAGCTACTTTGCAACTATTTAGCATGTTAGCTAACCCTTCCCCTAACCCTTTTAGCTAACCCTTCGCCTAACCCTAACCACCCTAGCAACGCAAAGGTTGTGGGTTTGAATCTCATCACGGACAACTTTAGCATTTGATCAATACTTCCTACTTTTTAGCTACTTTGCAACTACTTAGCATGTTAGCTAACCCTTCCCCTAACCCTTTTAGCTAACCCTTCGCCTAACCCTAACCACCATTTTAGCTAACCCTTCCCGTAACCCTAACCCTAACCTTAACCCTTTAACCTAACTCCTAAACTTAACCCTAACTTTAACCCTAACCCCTAGCCTAGCTAACGTTAGCGAGCTAGCTAACGTTAGCCACCTAGCCAGAATTCCTAACATATCATACTTTTGCAATTCGTTACATAACATAATACGAATTGTAATTCATAACATATCATACGAAATGGGTGATGGATATCCACAAATTAATACATACCATACGAAACGTAACATATTATACTAACTGATTTGTCTCGGCTTTATGTACGGAAAAATACGAAATGCTCTGAGACCATGTTGCAGAATTTGGTGCATGCTAGACAGCGCCACTGTACGGCTGTCAGTGGTTGGAAGAGGCGCAGAGTCAGAACATAGGCTACACAAGTGGTGGTGGAGGGAGGGAGTGCATGCTTACGTACTGTATAGCAGGCTACATTATCAAAGACCATGCCAAGTAAAGCTGGAGCAGCGACAGCGTTGCAAGATTCTTGTCGATTGTTTTTAGAATCTACGCATTGTTACGCTTAACAATCGGGAACGAACGTCAAGATTCGGAAAAAATGCTATTTGAGAGAAAACCCGGCGTCTCTCATTCTCGTATGCATATGAGAAAATCGTCGTGGAGGTCATGTGTCTTATTCGACGAAGTGGCAATGTTTAGAGCTTGCGGAGGGGCAGCCCTTTGGAGTCTTGCTGTATATTTACAGTAATAGTTTGTCAGATGTAAAGCATAGGTTGAAAGAGAAAATAGACAGAGACCGTGCGTCAGACACGTGCTGAATGTAGCCTACAGGGGCCGGTTACCCTCTGAATTTATTTTCTCGCTGTAATACAAAGTAGCGGCTCCAAAGGATGCAGGTGAAAAAACAGAGGGGTTCAGACAGTAGTACTGGAGAGGGTACCCGTAAAAAGTCATCATGCTTCTCAAACATCAAGATATTCTTGATATCGGAATGTGCCCTGATGTTGGCACAGGGCACTGTTGGAGCCTACCTGGTGAGTGAAACATTTAAAGCTGTGTCATTATGTCTGTGATGTCTCTCATGAGAACATCTGTCCAGACGCAGGTTTCATATGCATTCTAATACTTTGGGCTATTTTATCTTAGCTATAACTCCGTGCCAGTACTGAGCATGTAAGCAAAGTATCTGTCATGAAACATGCAACAGCTATGACATAATGAGATACATTTTAACCGGTTTAAGAAGGCTTGACATCCACCGGTGTTTTAAATACGCGGAAGCCAGTGCCCAACTGCCCATACAAAGGCTAGCCTACATGTGGACTCAATATTCAATTCGAAACACATTTTAGTCTGGTTGAGGAGTTTAACCTTGTCCATATGTCCACAGAAAACATAGCCTATTTCCCCTCCGTCAAAACAAAACTGTTAATGATGGTTTGCTCTCCTAATGCCGCACCTAAATAATCCAAGTGCCCAAAATAACACTCTGATTCCGTAGAGGACAAAAATTAACAGGTGACTTGTTAGTCTATGCGGCAAAGGGCCCCTATAACTGTAATATACATGTAATTTACTGCAATAACACAATCTATTGATGTAGTTAGATCAGTGAAATTGTAGGCCTCTACCTGTATTATCAGAGTGCCAGTCTTGAAAGCAATGCTATCTTGTTTAAGACAAGCCTATTCTATTCAACTCTTTTATCTCATGTTCACACGTGATGCTTCTGATATTCTATAGGCCTACTGGTTGAAGCTTTTAAATCGTTTTAGTCCTAATAGGTCCTCCTCACGAAATATTTTCTGTACTCCCTTCTCAAATTCAGTTGTTTCATGGTGATGTTCAACAGTTCTCTTATGACATGAAACAACAAATGGTGGATGAGTGAATTAATTCCTTCATAAACTCAGCAAAAAAAGAAACGTCCCTTTTTCAGGACCCTGTCTTTCAAAGATAATTAGTAGAAATCCAAATAACTTCACAGATCTTCATTGTAAAGGGTTTAAATACTGTTTCCCATGTTTGTTCAATGAACCATAAACAATTAATGAACATGCACCTGTGGAATGGTCTTTAAGACACTAACAGCTTACAGATGGTAGGCAATTAAGAACATTTAGGACAATAAAGAGGCCTTTCTACTGACTCTGAAAAACACCAAAAGAAAGATGCCCAGGGCCCCTGCTCATCTGCGTGAACGTGCCTTAGGCATGCTGCAAGGAGGCATGAGGACTGCAATAAATTGATGTGGCCAGGGCAATAAATTGCAATATCCGTACTGTGAGACGCTTAAGACAGCACTACAGGGAGACAGGACGGACAGCTGATCGTCCTCGCAGTGGCAGACCACGTGTAACAACACCAGCACAGGATCGGTACATCCGAATACCACACCTGCGGGACAGGTACAGGATGGCAACAACAACTGCCCGAGTTACACCAGGAACGCTCAATCCCTCCATCAGTGCTCAGACTGTCCGCAATAGGCTGAGAGAGGCTGGACTGAGGGCTTGTAGGCCTGTTGTAAGGCAGGTCCTCACCAGACATCACCGGCATCAACATCGCCTATGGGCACAAACCCACCGTCGCTGGACCAGACAGGACTGGCAAAAAGTGCTCTTCACTGACGAGTCGCGGATTTGTGTCACCAGGGGTGATGATCGGATTTGCGTTTATCGTCGAATGAATGAGCATTACACCGAGGCCTATACTCTGGAGCGGGATCGATTTGGAGGTGGAGGGTCCGTCATGGTCTGGGGCGGTGTATCACAGAATCATCGGACTGAGCTTGTTGTCATTGCAGGCAATCTCAACGCTGTGCGTTACAGGGAAGACATCTTCCTTCCTCCTGACATGACACTCCAGCATGACAATACCACCAGCCATACTGCACGTTCTGTGTGCGATTTCCTGTAAGACAGGAATGTCAGTGTTCTGCCATGGCCAGCGAAGAGCCCAGATCTCAATCCCATTGAGCACGTCTGGGACCTGTTGGATCGGAGGGTGAGGGCTAGGGCCATTCCCCCCAGAAATGTCTGGGAACTTGCAGGTGCCTTGGTGGAAGAGTGGGGTAACATCTCACAGCAAGAACTGGCAAATCTGGTGCAGTCCATGAGGAGGAGATGCACTGCAGTACTTAATGCAGCTGGTGGCCACACCAGATACTGACTGTTACTTTAAATTTTAACCCCCCCTTTGTTCAGGGACACATTATTCCATTTCTGTTAGTCACATGTCTGTGGAACTTGTTCAGTTTATGTCTCAGTTGTTGAATCTTGTTATGTTCATACAAATATTTACACATGTTAAATTTGCTGAAAATAAACACAGTCGACAGTGAGAGGACGTTTCTTTTTTTGCTGAGTTTAGTAGGGTATTTTAAGTCACAAAGGGGTATGGTATGGTGGGCTAGTGCCACTTCCCAGGGAAATCAAAGATGTAAATTGAAATGCTTTGGCCTTATTTGGAGTGGAACATGTTATCTATTCTGTGCCACTGTTCCACAAGCTTCCTCCTGACCATGGGAACAGTGTAGCCTATGTGGATGAGGCATGAAGTTAAATGACCCCAAAATAATTGAGTGGAATGTTTTCCCAAGTACTTTGTACTTTGTTTTTTTCAATCTATTTTATTCTATTTTTGTAACATGTTGTTATAACATGTTTCTTAAATCTATTTAGATGGACTAACTTTCTAACACTACATGCTTGTGAACCAAGTAAAGTTATTGTCAAATTGGGCCTACAACCAGCAGTCTTCAACCTTTTCTCTCTGACTTGGATGGAACATTGCACACATTTTTCTGTGATGTGTCTCTCTGCTATGTACAGACTCGTCAGTCACAGTGGAAGGAATGGGTCTATCAGGAGTCCTCTGTATGATAATTGGTCTAGTTATGTCTCATTTAATTGAATGTAGTTGAAATGGAAGATGTCTCATCTGCAGCAGTGACTGCAGGGGACTCTGATGGCTTTTATACATAGGCAGTTATAGCTTAGCTTAGCTAGAATGTTTACACCTACAGTATAACTACCATTTAAAGCCCTGTCTCACTTTGACTATGTAAATGTTTTCAACTACACTTTTCAGGAGGTTATTCTAAAGAAGGTTAACAAATCTTGAACTAATAATGGTATACTTTACACTGGTGAGTAAAGATTAGCAAATTATGGATCTGAGAGGGAAGGCCATGACAGGCCCTCAGCCATGCTCTATCGCTGTTAGCACAGGTAGTCTCTTTCACATGGCATCTGCTCCATTTGCATAGGCTGGAAACCAAGCTCCAGCTAAAGGGACAAGCTGATAACCCTGTTATGACCTTATTAGAGGTCCTCCTGTGTCGGAGCTATTGTTGTATCCATGATAGGATGAGGCAACTTAAAGTGTGTGCTGGCAGCCAGGGAGACAGCCTGGAAGTCATGGGTCATGGCTTATGCTCTTGCTCTTGCTCTACGTTAGCAGCTTAAGATGGACTCTTTCCCAGGCAACACAGGCAACATAGTCTCTGGGTAAACAGCCAGTGCACATACCTGCATAGACAATTACTCTCAACACTATGGGGTTGTGATATGACTGTCAGCTTCCCTAGTTTCATTTTGAGAATGATCTGGAAATGGTGTATAAACCTACCTTAAGTTCTTAGTTCTCGGAAATTCAACAGAACTCTGTGGTTTCAGCCTATGTTGAATGTTGTGGTGATGAGTGACAGTGGTGAATTTGTTTGCTGTTACGTGCTCCATCTACGCATGGCAAAACAGGCTGAACTATCTATGTACTTTATAATTTCCCCTGCATATATTTGATTTTCAAACCCAGCTTTAGTAGTTGATTATATTAATTCTACACGAAGTTTTTCCAGACTTTAATGTGTTCAGGTTAAGCTATAGTTAAAGTTAGGTGTTACTACCTCGCCCTCTCCAATCTTGCAACTTGCCAAAACCTAAACTTTTGGAATTAGACAGGGTTTTGTAAAGGCTTCTGAAAGACACTGAATTGTCCTTTTGAAAGGGTGTCTAGACAGCATAGGAACCTGAGACGCACTTCAACTGTTTTATTTAGCAAACGGCTGTAGTTATGTCTCAAACTGTGCTTACACAAGCCTCATCCGCTGGTTAAAAAAAAAGGATGTCTGTGTGGGGCTTGGCTCCTCTCATTCTGGACAGGTGAGGTAATGTTGAGGCTAAATAGTCACATTGTCCATGAAAACACAGCCAGACAAGTTTGCATTGTAACCATGCTGCAATAAATAAAACAAACTTTCCTGACTGACTGTGTTTACTTTTGAGTTCAAGATTCCAGGTGTATCTTTAACTAGCTTTCTGTAGCTGGAGGTACTCATCTCTCTGCAATGTACACAGTCTATTTACATAACATAGACCTAACTATAAATATTTTTGTCAATTATTGAGTCTTGAAATGCTGTATCTGTTAGTAAAATGCTTTGATGGCAGAGTGCATGTACACACGTGGAATTTGGGGGACGGGTGCTCTTCTAAATTCACTGCACTTTTCTGAGCTCGCTAAGCTGTCACTCCCACTGGTGCCCGAGTCTAGTCTGGGCAAGAGATGACATGACATGGTCTGCTTGGCCTGGCTGCCATTCCTCTGCTGTGGTGTGGTGGTGAGGTGGAGGTTCAGGAGTATGTGCTGGTGTCTGCTGAGTGCTGAGTGCTGAGAGGTCCAGCTGTGCCGTCAACAGGTTGCATTGGCTTGGCATGGGCTCTGAGGACAGGAGCAGATGGTGATGTTTCCAGCCCAACTCTTCTAGTTTCCAGGATTGCTAGGAAGCCACGTTACACTCTTTGGAAACTCAGATGAGGCTGCAAGCCCATTTTGGAGACACATACACACATAGCATCCCTATTGCTGAGCTGTAGTTTTAAGAGCATAAACCATTGTATAATGATAGGCCTTGTACATAGGATGACTGAAATCACTACATTGATCAACCTGTGGTCGTGTTCAAATGTAATCAAAGTGTAGGTAGTTGTATTAGTATAGTTATTTCTCAGTCACACCTGCCATTTAAAGTAATTTAAGTCACTTTGTAAAGTCACAGAGCGAATATAATTTTTCCTACTGGCAATGGCATCCTTCTTTACATTAGCTGTTATTTTCCTGTCCCCACGGCTCCTCAGAGGAGTTTAATTTAGCATGTTAGCCTGTTGGACATCACTCTGGGAATGGAACAGGACCATGCCCTTTCAAGGACATTTTGGGACACATCTGAAAATGTGACAGGTGGGATATGGCTCAGCAGTTGGTTCCCAGACATTGAAACCCACATAATTTTTTATGAACTCTAGAAAATACTCACCAATTTCATTTGAAGGGAGAAGAGGATGCTGCATGCAAAATGTGATACATCTGAGGATCCACTCCTTTGAGAAGGGGCAGCCTATTATACTTCCTGCAGAGTAAAGGCCCGTTTCCACTGGCACTTAAAATTAGGGCCAAATTCGAGATGGCTCGAATGGAATTCTCAAATTAGAGCCCAGTCAGGGGAAACCCGGGCCAGCGCAGACCATTTTCACAACAGGTGCCAGCTCGATTAGAATTCGGGTTGGTGACGCTGTTACTATGCAACCACCAGCTGATCACTACTGGATGCTGACACCACGTTTAGCTAGCTCATCTGGGCTTGTTGCTGTTAACTAGCACATGGACAAGCAGTACTGCATTAGTCAGACATTACACAAATTATCACCATAGCTGGATCCTTCATTCATTTTTGCACTACACAATAAACTTTTATGAGAACAGTCAGCCCTCGAATGCTAGCTACCTAACGTTAGCTAGTAAATCAGACTTGATAAAAGCTAGCTAGCTAGCTAGCTAACATTAGCTAGCAGGAATTTTAGCTGGCCAGGTCGTGAAAGCTAGCTAGCGACATCATATCAAACCTGTCGTCTGGTTTGCTTGGTTAGCTAGCCAATAGTCAATGCCATGGCAAGCAAGGTAGGAATTAAGCTAGCTAGCTAGCCTGTTATGCTAGCGACAAAGCTAACCATTTAGCTAGCTAGCGAGCTAACGTTAGCAAGCTAAAAATCTTTGCTAACTACATGGCTCTGAGTCTGGCTGGCAGTGGCAGGATTATGGGGTAATGTTAGTTACAGCATGGTGAGGGTGAATAAAATTATTCAACATCTTGATAGCTAGCTAGCAACATTAGAGAACCAACTGCACAGCCATGGCTAACTAGAAACATTACATCATTTTTAATTTCTGGAGGCAGTGGAAACCCAATTTGAGCTTTACCACCAAGGCCAGCCCAACCGGGGTTGACTTCAAATAGCCAATGGAAACGGGGCTTTTGGGTAATTTTCCCTCTTCTTTATGGTAGAGCATTTGTGTGTATTCCATGCATTTCTGTTTCAGTCTGGCCTTGGTGTTCCCATGCATCATTGTAGCCTGTACAGTGTTGATAAAAAGGTGTGGGTGGTTGGTCTTGGGTTCTTTAAGAATCTTTCTTCCCTATTAGTTGTGGGTGTTCAATATCACCAACTAGGAGGCAACCGGTGCAGATAGCTGGGCTTAGACCACATTCCTGTCCCAAAAATAGAAGACTGGCCAGATTTACCAAGGTCATTGCTATCAAACAATGTACTGTCCTCCTGAGCCTGTGTGAAGTTGGTCTTTAACATTCAAGTTGTGTGGAGATCAATTTAATCATTATACGTAGTTAGGATCATTATACTTAGTTAGGATCCTATCTGATGAACTGAAATGCATTCCATAATGTCTGACTTCCATGTATTTTACCAACAATGGCAGACGGGAGACAAAATCCCCTGCTGCCCCCAACTTCTATCTAGAGACAGTGTTATGCTCTTATCTTTCACCTGCGTTAAATGCTGCACCATTAACTCAGAGAGAGAGAGAGAGAGAGAGAGAGAGAGAGAGAGCGTGCGTTTGGGGAGAATGCACTTTCAATAAAGCAATGGGAGTAAGTGATGCATTGCCCAGCTAATCAAAAACAGGGCTGGATCTTGGCAGAGAGGGGATTTTACTCAGAGTTCAATGAGAAACATCTGAAAGAGGTCTCACTGTGAGTCAGTATATCCAAAGGAAAGGGATTATTTAAAAGGGCACAACCTCAATAACATGGTATTTTCATAGCCATGTTATATTTCTCTAAACTCTCTTGCGGTGTGCGTGCAACTTGATTCAAAATTCCAGTGTGCAAACAATATCTAATTTCTTCTCTCATTTGCATATACCCGACATTTGGAAACCCTTTGGCACGTTAATCCTTATAATTCCAATATCTAGTGTTTTATGTAATTCTTTTGTATTTCATTTGGGAGAATCACATCTTTCAGAGATGTTTAGTATAGAAACATGTCATTTGTCTTATATTAAGTTGTTTGTTCTGTAATAACCAAAATGATACAGTGAGGGAAAAAAGTATTTGATCCCCTGCTGATTTTGTATATTTGTCCACTGACAAAGACATGATCAGTCTATAATTTGAATGGTAGGTTTATTTGAACAGTGAGAGACAGAATAACAACAAAAAAATCCAGAAAACGCATGTCAAAAATGTTATAAATTGTTTTGCATTTTAATGAGGGAAATAAGTATTTGACCCTCTCTCAATAAGAAAGATTTCTGGGTCCCAGGTGTCTTTTATATGGGTAACGAGCTGAGATTAGGAGCACACTCTTAAAGGGAGTGCTCCTAATCTCAGTTTGTTACCTTTATATAAGACACCTGTCCACAGAAGCAATCAATCAGATTCCAAACTCTCCACCATGGCCAAGACCAAAGAGCTCTCCAAGGATGTCAGGGACAAGATTGTAGATCTACACAAGGCTGGAATGGGCTACAAGACCATCGCCAAGCAGCTTGGTGAGAAGGTGACAACAGTTGGTGCGATTAATCGCAAATGGAAGAAACACAAAATAACTGTCAATCTCCCTCGGCCTGGGGCTCCATGCAAGATCTCACCTTGTGGAGTTGCAATGATCATGAGAACGGTGAGGAATCAGCCCAGAACTACACGGGAGGATCTTGTCAATGATCTCAAGGCAGCTGGGACCATAGTCACCAAGAAAACAATTGGTAACACACTACGCCGTGAAGGACTGAAATCCTGCAGCGCCCGCAAGGTCCCCCTGCTCAAGAAAGCACATATACAGGCCCGTCTGAAGTTTGCCAGTGAACATCTGAATGATTCAGAGGAGAACTGGGTGAAAGTGTTGTGGTCAGATGAGACCAAAATCGAGCTCTTTGCCATCAACTCAACTCGCCGTGTTTGGAGGAGGAGGAATGCTGCCTATGATCCTAAGAACACCATCCCCACCGTCAAACATGTAGGTGGAAACATTATGCTTTGGGGGTGTTTTTCTGCTAAGGGGACAGGACAACTTCACCGCATCAAAGGGACGATGGACGGGGCCATGTACCGTCAAATCTTGGATGAGAACCGCCTTCCCTCAGCCCGAGCATTGAAAATGGGTCGTGGATGGGTATTCCAGCATGACAATGACCCAAAACACACGGCCAAGGCAACAAATGAGTGGCTCAAGAAGAAGCACATTAAGGTGCTGGAGTGGCCTAGCCAGTCTCCAGACCTTAATCCCATAGAAAATCTGTGGAGGGAGATGAAGGTTCGAGTTGCCAAACGTCAGCCTCAAAACCTTAATAGCTTGGAGAAGATCTGCAAAGAGGAGTGGGACAAAATCCCTCCTGAGATGTGTGCATACCTGGTGGCCAACTACAAGAAACGTCTGACCTCTGTGATTGCCAACCAAGGGTTTTGCCACCAAGTACTAAGTCATGTTTTGCAGAGGGGTCAAATACTTATTTCCCTCATTAAAATGCAAATCAATTTATAAAATTTTTGACATGCATTTTTCTTGATTTTTTTAATGTTATTCTGTCTCTCACTGTTCAAATAAACCTACCATTAAAATTATAGACTGATCATGTCTTTGTCAGTGGGCAAACGTACAAAATCAGCAGGGGATCAAATACTTTTTTCCCTCACTGTATGTCACTTAACCTTAATTCAGAATGTAGGACAAATTATTTTATTTTTCTCAATGTTTAGGCCTACAGTCTTGGTTACTTGGTTTTCAATGGCAATTGTAAAGTACTGCATGCATCTGAGATGTGATTCACTATACCAAAAACTGTAACCATGATCCATGCCGTATTTATTGAATTGCTATTTGTAAGGTAGGTGTTTTCCCCGATGTTCCAATTACATACTTCTCAGCTAGTGTGAAAACAATTAGGCTTTAAGCCTGGTAATATTTCAGCCTCGTAATGATAATACCCTGTCATTTACGAAGTTAATCAGTTATGAGAAGTTAGTTATGATTGCCGTTTATGAGCAACATATTTCCTCTGCTGTTGCTTTCTCAGGTGAGTGTCCTGACCACCCTGGAGCGACGATTCAACCTCCAAAGTGCCGATGTGGGTGTGATCGCCAGCAGCTTTGAGATTGGCAACCTGGCTCTTATCCTATTCGTCAGCTACTTCGGGGCCAAAGCCAACCGGCCAAGGTTGATTGGCTGTGGGGGTATCGTCATGGCGCTAGGAGCTCTTCTGTCAGCACTGCCAGAGTTTCTAACCAACCAATACGAGGTCAAGCCAGGGCAGACATGGAGGACTGAGGTGGGCAGGAATGGGTGTGCCAACAGTACCAGGAATGGTGGGCAGTATATAGAGGAGTTGTGTTCCAACAAGGCAAACACCAACATGATGTACCTGCTGCTGATTGGGGCCCAGATGCTGCTGGGGATTGGAGCCACCCCAGTTCAGCCCTTGGGCGTGTCCTACATAGATGACCATGTGAAGAGGAAAGACTCCTCTCTGTATATAGGTAAGTTAGTTAGATGCATTAATACACTATGGGGATACGTTACTACACTACAGGGATACGTTAATACACTATAGACCAGATTTACTACACGCAGACTCCACTTCACACGTCATTTTAATTAGGAAATAAAACATAAAAGGTGGACCATAGAGTTTAATGAAGGTTCAGGAGGGAAGGATCTCATTGTGTCATTGTGATCCTCCATTTCTATTTAACCTTCAGTTAATAGAAATGGAGGATCACAATGACACGATGAGATTTTGTCAAGGTGACAGAGACATTTTGAGGGATAATTCCCCTGTAGCTCAGTTGGTAGAGCATGGCACTTGCAATGCCAGGGTTGTGGGTTCGTTTCCCACGGGGGGCTAGTATGAAAATGTATGCACTCACTAACTGTAAGTCGCTCTGGATAAGAGCGTCTGCTAAATGACTAAAATGTAAAAAAAAAAAGACATTTCACTGCAATATGTGCTCTTTTTTTCTGTATTTGAGTGTGCTACTCTGTAGCTCAGCTGTGAGAGCATGGCTCTTGCAATGCCAGGAAAGTGGGTTTGATTCCCAAGACCATAACTGTAAGTCGCTTTGGCTAGAAGCGTCTGCTATATGGCATTTAGCTATTATATTATATATTGAAATAATATTTAAGAGAAGGAGATTGTTATCACACTAGCATTTCAAAATCTATTTGTTCCAGTGCCAAGAGGTTCATAAGACTACCCAAATTGGCCCATCTGTATGGTGGAAGGACAAACAGTGGTTGTGTTTGTCTGCTGATCACTGCCGGAAGGTGCAGTGTGTACACAGCCCTGCCTCTGAGTCAATACAGCATGAATGTATTCTCTGTGTTGTGCTCAGTCTTTCTTTTGTCCCCAAGCACAATCTGGCCCATGTGACTGCCAGGTGAGCAGATCTGTGAGGGGTTTATTATCTCCGTTACGTTTGTGCTGGAGTCACAGTCAAGTGCTGATGCCTGGGATGAAACAGGAGCATAAAAGTGCAAAATGTCTCCACTCAGCTGGCTTGCGCTCTCACACAGGCATTTGACCAACTGCTGACGTGGCTTTTCAAGGTTTAACAGTGCATTCAAAGCACTTTATGAGCTAACCTTCAATAGCAGATGATTGTGTGCAAATGTACTGTAAGGATACTGTCTCTTTGCAGTGCCTTACTGCATATTTGAATATATTTCACTGATGTTTGGTAAGATATACTGTGGTCAGTCATCCCAACAAACATCTCAAAATTAGGGGTTGTCTGGCTTTGATGTATTTGCTCTGCTGATTGTAAAGGCCAATGTATTGACAACACACTAATGTTGTTCTACCTTGCACATTGAGCATTCAGTATATGTGTGTCATGAGCCCCCCTTGTATAACCACAATGAAATCAAATCAAATTGTATTTGTCACATGCGTCGAATACAACAGGTGTGGACTTTACTGTGAAATGCTTACTTACGAGCCCTTTCCCAACAATGCAGAATTAAAAAGTAAAAAATAAATAATAATATAATAAGACAAAAAAAGGAAATAGTAACACAATAAAATAACAATAATGAGGCTAAATACAAGGAGTACCGGTACCGAGTCAATGTGCAGGGGTAGGAGGTAGCTGAGGTAATATGTACATGTAGGTAGGGGTACTCCTGAGTGGCGCAGTGGTCTAAGGCACTGCATCGCAGTGCTAGCTGTGCCCCTAGAGATCCTGGTTCGAATCCAGGTTCTGTCGTAGCCGGCCGTGACCGGAAGACCCATGGGGCGGCGCACAATTGGCCCAGCGTCGTCTAGGGTAGGGGAGGGAATGGCCGGCAGGGGATGTAGCTCAGTTCGGGGGTTATGAAAAAACAAACAAACAAAAAAATATATATATATAATTTTTTTTTTTAAGTAATGTATGCACTAACTGTAAGTCACTCTGGATAAGAGCGTCTGCTAAATGACTAAAATGTAATGTAAAATGGGTAAAAGTGACTAGGCAATCAGGATAGATAATAAACATAGTAGCAGCAGCGTATGTGAAAGTGTGTCTATCTGTGAGTGTGTGTGTATGGCGTCAATATGCATGTGTGTGTGAGCATATGTAGTGTGTCTTGGAGTGTCAGTGTGAGTGTGTGGGTAGAGCCAGTGCAAGCATGTCAGTGCAAAAAAAAAAGAGGTCAATGGAGTCGTAGACACCGCCTGGTATAGAGATCCTGGATGGCAGGGAACTTGGCCCCAGTGATGTACTGGGACGTACGCACTACCCTCTGTAATGTCTTGCGGTCGGATACCAAGCAGTTGCCATACCAAGAGGTGATGCAGCCAGTCAAAATGATCTTGATAGTGCAGCTGTATAACTTTTTGAGGATCTGAGGGCCCATGTAAAATCTTTTCAGCCTCCTAAGGGGGAAGAGGCGTTGTCGTGCCCTCGTCATGACTGTGTTGCTGTGTTTGTGTGTTTACACACCATAGCTTTGTTAAATATTTATTCTGATTGGCTGAAGGGCGAAAACAGGGCATGTTACATGACATCACAGCCTTTAGGCTAAATGCTGGCTGCTGGTTAAAATCTGCTGCTATAGGATTAGGATATAGGAATTCACAGTCATCTCACAAGTCGAGATGAAGCAAAAATCATGTTTATGATTGCAACTCGCTTTAAAGACCTACAGTTGTCAAGGTGACAAAGATACATCCTTGAGGGGTAATTGGACATTTCCCTGCAACATGTGCTCTTTCTTCTTTTTTTTGGGGAGACAAGGTCCATCCTGATACATTCACAACATTAGTAATGGGGATGACATTTGTTAGTGTAACACTGATGTGTTGGTCAAACTCAAGCCAAAGGCCTTCAGTGTCTTGTATGATCTCAGGCCAACAGCATATACCTCCCCAACTTTCATTCTTAGTCCTAGCTATTTTTCTTAGTGTGCTCTGCTTTGTCTAGAAGCGACAGAAACAAACAAGCACAGAACAGCTTTGACGTAAGTCACAACTGCAGCGCCTTGTTAGCACTGTACAGTAGGAAGTGGACTGATTAAAGTTAGGCAGGCATAGAGGGAGATTTGGTGCGGTTCTCCTCATAAGCTGCAATGAGAGTTGGAGGAAAACAAACGGTGAGCATTAGAGAACAATGTGGTATTGAGTTGGGAGCATGTGCTCAGTTGATCGTCCTAATCCCCATGCTGCGGGCATGTCATGTGCTTGTAACAGCATGAATGGAGGAGATTGTCTGAATCTCTCTATTATTTGCTGCAGCACCCCCATGAAAAATCAGAATATATACACTACCGTTCAAAAGTTTGGGGTCACTTAGAAATGTCATTGTTTTCGAAAGAAAAGCAATTTTTTTGTCCATTAAAATAACATAAAATTGATCAGAAATACAGTGTAGACATTGTTAATGTTGTAAATGGCTATTGTAGCTGGAAACAGCTGATTTTTTATGGAATATCTAAATAGGCGTACATAGGCCCATTATCAGCAACCATCAGTCCTGTGTTCCAATGGCACGTTGTGTTTGCTAATCCAAGTTTATCATTTTAAAAGGCTAATTGATCATTAGAAAACCCTTTTGTAATTATGTTAGCACAGTTGAAAACAGTTGTGCTGATTAAAGAAGCAATAAAACTGGCCTTCTTGAGACTAGTTGAGTATCTGGAGCATCAGCAATTGTGGGTTCGATTACAGGCTCAAAATGGCCAGAAACAAATAACTTTCTTCTGAAACACGTCAATCTATTCTTGTTCTGATAAATGAAGACTATTCCATGTGAGAAATTGCCAAGAAACTGAAGATCTCGTACAACGCTGTGTACTACTCCCTTCACAGAACAGCGCAAACTGGCTCTAACCAGAATAGAAAGAGGAGTGGGAGGCCCCTGTACACAACTGAGCAAGAGGACAAATACATTAGCGTGTCTAGTTTGAGAAACAGACGCCTCACAGGTCCTCAACTGGCAGCTTCATTAAATAGTACCCGTGAAACACCAGTCTCAACGTCAACAGTGAGGAGGCGACTCCGGGATGCTGACCTTCTAGGCAGAGTTGCAAAGAAAAAGCCATATCTCAGACTGGCCAATAAAAAGAAAATATTAAGATGGGCAGTCTGAGATATGGCTTTTTCTTTGCAACTCTGCCTAGAAGGTAGAGAAGCAAACACAACGTGCCATTGGAACACAGGACTGATGGTTGCTGATAATGGGCCTCTGTACGCCTATGTAGATATTCCATAAAAAATCAGCCGTTTCCAGCTACAATAGCCATTTACAACATTAACAATATCTACACTGTATTTCTGATCAATTTTATGTTATTTTAATGGACAGAAATATTGCTTTTCTTTCGAAAACAAGGACATTTCTAAGTGACCCCAAACTTTTGAACGGTAGTGTATGTATTTTTGAGAGATAATTTTTTTTCCACAAAAGAAGTGCACTGGGCCTTTACTATTCCTGTATTAGCGGACCGATATAGCTGTCTGTACAGGGGGCATATATAGCCCCCCAAAAAAAAAAAAACTCAAAACATAATCGCAGCACCCCCAAACATCCTACTGTGGCTATGAATGTATTGTGTGATTATTCATGAAACATTATCCGCTGGGAACGTACACATTGTTACAGTAATCAGATAAAGTGGTCCTCTGTAGCTCAGCTGGTAGAGCACGGCGCTTGTAACGCCAAGGTAGTGGGTTCGATCCCCGGGACCACCCATACATAAAAAAATGTATGCACGCATGACTGTAAGTCGCTTTGGATAAAAGCGTCTGCTAAATGGCATATTATTATTATTATTATTAAAGTTGTACTTAAGTTGTGTTTTGCAGTATTTTTCCTCTGCTAAATATTTTTCTAACACTTTTGCGAGACACTCCTGATTCAGCATGACAGCATTGACTTTCACTGCCTGGTAATCACCAGTCTCAAAAAGCTGAAATAGATACTTCTGTATTTTCACATACAGAAATATATTATTTTTGATCAATGCAGAACAAACACACCCATAGATACATTACTAAAGAAAAATCACCCCAACATACTGTACCTGCCTGGGGAGGCTGAATATGTTGTTTTAAATGGGCTTAATACATCCCAAAGGCCCATGATATGAAGGTTAATAGCTGGTGTTATGGTAGCCTAATTGATTCTGTATGTTTAATGACTAAAACAGACACTGTCAGCATAGTGATTACCCTTTAGCCTCCTAGTCCGCCATCAGTCTGTCCCTTACAGAAAAATCACATGATTTCACGTGAAATTTCACATGTGAAATCATGTAAATAAGTGTTTTTGGAACACTTCACGTGAAATTCATGTGATTTTTCCGTAAGGGGTCTGTCTGTCTGTTTTTCGTCTGTCCGGCCTGAACAATTCCACTACATGCCCGCTATGGGAGATTTGACTCCTATGCATTACTGCTGTAAGCATATCCTGAAATAACAGCCTCACATACTGTCCATGAAATGGATGGAGCAGTGCAGTGCATTTAAATGGCATAAACGGTTGACAGAGGAGGAAGAAGTGATAGTTGACCTATAGGCAGTCAGAAATAGAGAGCAGAACTACAGTATACAATATGATCCTTGTGACAGGTGATGAAGACGTATGCGCTATTTGAACATGTTAAAGAAAACTGCTTGTGAAAGGGATCACTGTGTTCTCACTCTGACACAATCAGGTTCATACTGTACATCAATGTGTCAGGAGGCATGAATATTCATCTGCAGCTCACAGTAACGCCTCGCCTCATTGTATAGTGCAGTGAGACCCAGGGTGTGAGGTGAAACTGTGGTGATTAGACTAATATACTACTACTATCACACCATTGGTAGAAGTCTCTGCTCAGATTTATGTTCTGCTGTGATATGTTAATTTCTAAATTATCATCATCACAAGCTTTTGTTGTTGATGGTGATGTGATGATGATGGCAGACGCCACCTGTAACATGCATAATATATTATTGTAAATGGCCCTCCTGTAGCTCAGTTGGTAGAGCATGGCGCTTGCAACACCAGGGTTGTGGGTTCTATTCCCACGGGGGGCCAGTATGAAAAATGTATGCACTCACTAACTGTAAGTTGCTCTGGATAAGAGCGTCTGCTAAATGACTAAAATCTAAATAGCCAATGGTATAAACTGTTCAGGTAATGGCAGTATGACATCAGTGGAAGGCCTAGCCTGTGTAAATGTGAGAGTGGGCTGTGGAGAAGAGAGCAGCAGAGCAGTGGTCTGTAGGAGTGAAGCCATAATTACAGAGTGAGGCAGGAATGCCAACCAGCCAGCCATGAGGTGGGTCTGAGCAGCCCGACTGCACATGCATACCACATGTGAAAAACAACTCCTACTGACTCGGAGACAGGGCTGGGCTGGCCTGGGCAGAAGGACTGGGGCTGTCTCTCCCTGCCACCACACTGTTTACAAAGCAGGACTTATAGTACTAATCAGCAGATAAAACGGATTCAAACGATGTTGGCATTTTTTATATAGCAGCACTTACAGAGGGTTCTCAAACTGACTGACTTTTCAGGAGAAGTAGGCCTGCTTTAAGTCTGGCCACTGCTGATCCAGTTGGTTTTACTTTCAGTTTTGGGATCTGTCACTGTTGAACTTGTGGATGCAGTCATGTTGAGCACTGAACATTGTATTATTTTCCTCAAATGGAATACTAAGGGTTGAAAGGATTAGTCTAGGAAGGGGTGAAATTGCTTCCATCACGACTTGGTGCTGCGGATAAACACTGTGTTTTACGAGATTTTCTTGTTTTCCATGTCTAGACGTAGGCACTCAGTTGGGCCAAAGGAAGCAAATATGATTAGAGAGTTAGAGTCAACAGGATCTCCCTCCGTTCCCACTGCTCTTTCACCATCTAGTTTTAATTATGGCTCTTCCCACAGGGCCTTGGGTTGCAAAAACATACTGCAGATACATGTATAGTGGTTTAGCAATGACGCTCCCTCCAAAAAGCATTAGGCCTTAACCCTACCCATCCACCTCTTACTGCTTTTGAGGCTTTTTCCAGTCTGGGTAGTCTCCTGTAACACGAGAGGACCTATATGCAGATGGAAAGGATCACATTTGTTTATTCAGTGTCAATGTATAAAGTGGTTATGATGGGCTCAATTATTGATGTGCTTTTTGCCACTATTGAAAAAGGCTGTATTTCTAGGATCTGGGGTCTGACACAGATGGTTGTTTGATGATTGGAAAAGTGTTATTAGTGCTCTGCATCAGCTAATTTAATATCATATTAACTTCCCAGGTTTCAGAAATGTTTTCCTAGATGTGAGGGGATGCCATAATAGGATGAACATGCTTGGATCTTTTCTATCTTGTCTTTTTAAATGAATGCTTCATGCATTGTCATTGATAAAGATAGGAATAGTGAAAGAAGATTCGAATAGAAGCATCTATCAGAGATGTGGCCTTTTGAAATGCAATTCCATTTATCGGCACTCTGGTGTTAAACTTTGACGTTTGAGGCTTCATGTACCGACGGCAGCAGTCTGAGGCCCCAGCAGAGCAGAGCAGGAGAGGGGAAGAATGCTCTGTCTGTTCCAGCGTATAAAGTACTCCAGTCTCTCCCTGGCCAACACAAAACTGTGCAGGCACAGGTAGTGCACACACACACACACAGAGACACTCACACCCGCACATACACACAGTCCCTGGGCTCTGCCACAAAGTCAATCCAAACTATATATGACAGACTAGCTACTGAGGGGGAACACACAAAGGTCCTTCTTTTTTTAATATGGCCGGAGACAAGTGCCTACTGTGGAAAGCCACAAATATGCTATTCTTACCTGATAATTTTTGCAGCCTAAAGCAATTTGCATGTGCTTACTGGCAGACACTCCCACAGTAGCCCCTTACATTACAGTTTCTGAAACTAAAACTCAAGACCTTTACTTCAAATCGTCCTGGGATGAGTCACTTCAAGACATGCCCAAAGAGAAAAAATGTCACGCCCTGACTCAAGGGACTTGTATTTGTTGAGTCAGGGTGTGTATTTTCTGTGTTGGGTTTGTTCTATGTTAGATTCTAGTATTCTAGATCTATGTTGGCCTGTGTGGTTCCCAATCAGAGACAGCTGTCGCTCGTTGTCTCTGATTGGGGACCATACTTAGGCAGCCTTTTGGCACGAGTTAGTTGTGGGATCTTCTTCCGTGTGAGGTATGTTATTTGTCTACCTTGGACTTCACGTTTCGTTTGTTGTTTTTGTCGTGTTGGTTATTCGTTAATAAACATGTATGCTTATCACGCTGCGCCTTGGTCCGTCTCGTTCGTAAACGACCGTGACAAAAAAGGACACGTTAACATACTGTATGATGAACATTATGAAGACAAGACAGGTTTTTGTTTAATTTAACACGTTCTTATTTAAAGAGTAAACAGATATTCTCCTGAGATATCAAGTCACTTCACGAGATAATTTCCACCGTATTTACAATATCAACATCAACTACATTTTACCATACATCAACCTATGTTAGCTCTGTTACAAATGTCACTTCAGCTTTGGTTCTGTAAGGAGTCTGCTGTGGTTGTTGCAGTGGCATAGGTCCTCGAGAGACCTGTCAACATTCTGCAAAAATGTTCCGACTCCAAACAGTGGCTTCAGCAAGGCGTGTTTATAAGATACTTAAACTCAGCGCTGTAATGTCATCTTGAAGGATTAGATTCTAAATGGGTTTTTCCATCTCTGCGATAAACTCCATGCTGAGTGTGCCCTAGCAACACCAGTTTGTTTTATTTCAAGACAATAAAAAGCATGGATTCATCAACAGGCAGCAGAGAAGTTCTCTTCATCATTGTGTTGTGTGGACCTGCCCCTCTACTAGCCTGACAGCAGGCCTGGCATCACCTGCATAGCTGCATAACTCCCTGGATGGTTCAGAGGCACCGCTATAGTAGATACACACCAGTTGTCAGAGCACAGTGGTCTTACTGAGCCATGCCAATTTGATCTAACTGCTCAACAACAAGCTAGCATGTCTGGAGAGTGCTGAGAAATAGTAATACACATGCATTGGAAAATCTAATCATGGAAAGAAATCACATAATGCAGACTTAAATGTAAAATAATGTGTTTAAGACAATTAGACGCAGGAGACCTTGTACCCAAAAGAGCACACAGTCTGGTAAATTACAACCTGTACTACAGTGATTGATAAGTGATAGCCATTATTAAGAGTCATCATAAAATTATACTGGGCGGATAACGTCATTATCATTAGTTGAATCTGCTGTCGTTATTTAAACTTAATGATAGCATTTATCAATGCTGTCTGCTGATGAAGCAAAACAAATGCCATGCAGTGCTAGTGAGTCATCTCCTGTGCCCTGTATCAGTGAAGCAGGAACAGGCTCATGTAGTTTGTAGCAGCTTCCATTTGGGCCTTCCTCATGTTATCCTTCAGTTGTCCAACACTATGGTTATACCAGCCAGTCATTACTGCTGTCCATGGCACAATTCTGTTGTTATGTGTCTGGTTTGGCTGCTCGTAGTTAAACGTCAGATGGTGTCACTACATTTCTTTGTGTGCTGTTTGGGCATCTGGACACAGTATTGCTGTGTACTTGTTAATACACAGATTCTGTATGAGATTAAGGATGAGCTACATTAGTAAGGCCTGTTTCCGCTGTATGAACCTGCTTTTGGCTGTTGACCCCGATGTGACACCACATTGCGTGAAGGCTATACTTTCTGAGTGGACCTGAATAAATGACAAATGAGGGCATAAACTTGTCACTCAAGCAGTGATGTCTCAGTGTGCAAACTTTAGCTAAAGGTGAGGGATAAGAGCTATATGGTTTCTTTATTATAATATGTTACTGTATCTTTATTGATGTCAATATAACACAGCACCATTATCGCCAATGTTTATAGCTATGTATCTAAAAGCTGAGCAGGTCCTTTATCAGGCCTTAGAATGATGCTCTAAAGAGTTGTCTGTGTGCCAGATACTGTCATCTCTCTCGTAGTTCTTGCTAATGCTCCTATCAGAGTCTAGTTAACCAGGAAGTGTTACAGTTAACTGCCCATGTGCCGTGGCTTATCTCTGCTTTGGAGAGTGTGGACCTCAAAGAATTCTTGAGCACATTACCCAGCCTAGAAGCTGCAGTGTGGCTCACGGGTGCTGGGCTAGCCAGATGAGCACCGTGCATCCGCTCCTTCCAGTTGGGCTCACCAGAGAGGGATGTGGAGGTTGAGTTTGGAAGCCTCAAAATAGGTCAAACCTCTGGATGAAGTGGGTCAGTGTTGGATAACAGACGAGGCCCAGAGCCCCAGAGGGAGGCCTTAACACGGTAAAACCAGAGCAGTGTGCTGCCTGCCACCCGTGGCCTGCCTCTCAACATATCACTCACTGTACAGTACAGCCCGCCATCTGCAGCACTGGAGAGTAGGGCCAGTGGCCTGGTACACTGCCCATCCAGAGAGACTGCCCCTCCCAAACTACCCCACCCCTCTCCTGCCTGACCCCTCCTCTACCACTCTGAGCCCTGTTACTTTATAGCCTGGGCTATCTGTTTGTCTAAATGCTTAGGGAAGGTAGAGTGGATGTGTGTTGGGCTAGGCAGAGGCTGGTCATCATAACCTCATCATCTCCCTCTCTATCTCCAATCCCTGTGGCCTCAGTAAACCCGTCATCATGCAACCTTTTCAAGGCAATCTGGGTCAGACCCTGTCACCGCTGATTAAAAAGGGGATTTTTTTTGGTTCGGTCAGGGGGGGAGGGACAAGGGCATAGGAGGCAGATCATAAACACAACATCAGCAAGCCATTGCCACGGAAATGCCTGTTTGTCTAGCTGGTTCTGACTATTAGATTGAGATGCTCAGCCTTTCCCCTGACACGGCTGTCGGCTCTGGCCCTATGCCTGCTGGGAAGGATGCAGCTGTCAGAAGGCTCAGGCTGATCTGAGAGGCGAGCCTCCGCTCACAACACAGTGACACAGGGAAGTGTTCACAAATGACAGCCCAGAAACTGGCCCTTCATTTTTAGAAGAACGCAAGATCCACACCGTTTTTGGATGCACCGTAGCTGTTCATTTTCTGAGGTTAGGTTGACCTTGTGGTTGATGCTCAAAATGTGCAGATTCACTCTCCTCTCCTGGCATTAGTACAAATCCCCAGCCTCATTGATTGAGTGGTCTGTAAGTAGTGGCTCTGAGGGTTCCTAGGATTACCCAGTAGCATGTTCAGCACTTTATCCCTGTATCAATGCTGACGTGGAGCGAAGGATAACATTGCCTAATTAAATGGACTTGGATCAATAGCGCAGGCAGTGATTATTACAAACAATCAGATGTTAGATTGAATCAACCTTTATTAAATAGCCAGGGGCTGGAGGTCCCTCTCGCTGGTGTCCTGTATTCTCTAGGTTTTCAATGAATTCACAGGAGTTTACTATGTGTGTTTCTCAATATGCATACTACCGTGCTGTGAGCAGGAAAATTAGAGCACGCAGCGGTCGGAGTATGAGTCCAAATCAAAGAATACGAAACGGAGAACGAAGGGCACTTCTTGGATGCGTACTCCGTTTGTACATATTTCGAAACATGCATCTATGCAAGCTTCAACAAAACATTTTCAGGATTGTTGACGTAATATGACGCAACCACAAAATGTATTGAAAACATTCACGTCTCATATGTTACCGGACTACAATATTTTATCTTTATACATTAATAAATACATACTGTGTTAACTTTGGCATGTTTTCCTGCCTAAAATATCCACTGTAGTTTGTGGTGATTGCAGGCTAACTGACAAAGAATTGGTTGCTAGCTAGCTACCCACAAATAATTCGTAGCTAACGCTGTCCATCTACTTTTCATAACAACATTTGTATATGTTGTTTTTTACATGTAAAACTAGCTGGCTAGCTAGACTAATACGATTCACATATAGCTAGCTGATAATTATGAAGTTACAAGCTTATGTTTGCTTTATGTACACTGACCGAAAATATAAACACAACATGCAACAATTTAAAAGATTTTACTGAGTTACAGTTCATGTAAGGAAATCAGTCAATTTAAATAAATTCATTAGGCCCTAATCTATGGATTTCACATGACTGGGAATAAAGATATGCATCTGTTGGTCACAGATACCTTTAAAAAAAAAAAGTAGGTGAGTGGACAGTTTGTGCAGAAATCCTTCGGTTGTGTAAACCCACAGTTTCATCAGCTGTCCGGGAGGCTGGTCTCAGATGATCCCACAGGTAAAGAAGACAGATGTGGAGGTCCTGGGTGGCATGGTTACACGTGATCTGTGGTTCTGAGGCCGGTTGGACATACTGCCAAATTATCTAAAATGACGTTGGAGGCGGCTTATGGTAGAGAAATGAACATGCAATTATCTGGCAACAGCTCTGTTGGACATTCCTGCAGTCAGCATGCCAATTGCACGCTCCCTCGAAACTTGAGATATCTGTAGTATTGTGTTGTGTGCACATTTTAGAGTGGCCTTTTATTATCCCCAGCACAAGGTGCACCTGTGTAATGATCATGCTGTTTATTCAGCTTCTTGATATGCCACACCTGTCAGGTGGATGGATTATCTTGGCAAAGGAGAAATGCTCACTAACAGGGATGTAAACTAATTTGTGCAAAACATTTCAGAGAAATAAGCTTTTTGTGCGTATGGAACATTTCTGGGATCTTTTTTTCAGCTCATGAAACATGGGACCAACATTTTACATGTTGCGATTATATTTTTGTTCAGTGTAGTTATCTTGTTTAATCTGTATTGGTCAAAGGTAATGCAGTAGGACGGGAGGGTGCAGTGCTTCTCAAATGTACATTTTTATGCGTTCTCCACACTCGTCCTCACAAGAACGTACTCAAGAGAGCGTCCTCGGAGAACGAACTCGGAGAGTGTGGAGCACGATTGTTGCATATTGAGAAACAGCCTATGTTTAATCACTATGTCTCTGAGAAAAAAGATGACCTGATACAAAAGCTGATGAACTGTAGGCCTTTCTATTTTCATTCAATAACGCCTTAACGGTAAAATATTCTGGCCTTGCCTCACCACATTCTGATATCACTTCCACATTTCACTTCCAAATCTAACCCTTTCCACATTACAGATCACTGCCAACCTCTCCCTCTCCATTGAACAAGCTTCACATTTGGCAAACCCCATCAATTTACCCACTTCCTCAGGATTCAGAACAATTAAGATTGAATTGTAATTTGTGGCATATATACCCTTGTCCAAGCAGCTTCATTATATTTCCCTTGTTGAGGAAGGAGGAACCATGCTGTTGGCGTCTCTAGCCTGGTAATTAGGCCAAGCCACCTGCTGAAGGAGCTGCTACCAGCTGCAGGCAGTCACTGATCCCTTTACCCTGCACTGGCTCCTCCTCTCCTTCTATGGGGCAGCTGGGGGCACTCCAGTAAAAGAGGTCAGAGAGCTGCGCACTGTCTTAGCCTCCCATAGACCGCCTGATGTTTGTTCTGCCTGCCACCACCCATAAGCACAATGGACACTGTGTGTGTCACACTCAGCCCTCAGGAAAACATCTAAGGCAGCATTACAAACTGCAACAAGGCCAACACAGTAGGAATTAGTATTTTCCCGGAAATCTACCAAGTTTCAATACCGGGAATAATTAATATTTATCCCGAGAGTCCCAAGAGTCCTGGGAATACTGAAAAAAATCCCATTTGAAGCATTTAAAACCAAGATATGGTCACTATGCCAGGGTTCTCCTAAAATAAGATTGTCGCTGCGCCACATTGCCGGCTTGGCTGCGTCACTGTAAAGATTTCACAAGAAGTGAAACTGATATTTAGTAATGATAGAGTAACTCTGATTGCCAATGACATTGTTGTGAATTGCGAAACAGGCCGTTCATAAATTCAGAGCGTTATCATGTTCCTCAATTAATTCAGCGCATTTCAGCAGTAGGCCTAAGCTATCTCGACACAGAGCGCGCTCAGGACGCACAGAGCGCACCCCGAGTAGGCTATAGTATTGTCGAATCATACAAACTTTGTAACGGCAGTCAAACAGAAGCCAAATGACCAAAGTTGCTAAGCTTTCTAGATAACCTCCAACGAATGACAGAATATCTCCTATTTGGCAAAATTGAGTTGATGATAATACAGATAGCAGATCAGCTCATGAATAACGGGGAGATGAAGAGAGGAAATTGTTTAAATATCAAGGTATCGTAACGGGGACCAACTCTGTTGGAAAAATATATATATCTACTCTCATACTGTTTGTTGATCACATATTCTCTACCGAAGCGCTCATATGGGCAGCAATATGAGACAGCGCAGAGAAGCGAGGGAAATGTTATAGCGCTATTTTGACATGATAGGCAAGACATGCTTTGATAATTCTACCTATGGATTCCAGAATAAAGTTAGGAATTTTCATGCGATTTTGGGATTCAGTGGGATTGAGACGATAGGACAATAGCCTAGGCTCTATATAAGACTATATAAGGCTACTGCGTGAGTCAATAGATACATAATACACTTGATTTAGGCTACATTATTGCATGCTAAATGTTTTTGATCAGTGATAGATGAGTAAACAAATAAATGAGCCACTTCCACTTGTCCAGCCAGAGATCAATTAACCAAATATACAGACAGAGATTCAGTGAAACAAAATCACATTTATTGATTATCGGACAAGTCACAGGTTTTTGGTCAGGAGTAGGACAGGTTACTACGCGAGTGAAGAGCAAGCAGACTTGTATAACATGCTAGCAAAATGTTCTGATCATCTAATACAGTGCCTTGCAAAAGTATTCATCCCCCTTGGCGTTTTTCCTATTTTGTTGCATTACAACCTGTAATTTAAATGGATATCTATTTGGGTTTTCATGTAATGGACATACACAAAAAATGGCCAGCAAAAAGCCATTGCTTCAAGAAAAAAATAAGCAAACACGTTTGGTGTTCGCTAAAAGGCATGTGGGAGACTCCCCAAACATATGGAAGAAGGTACTCTGGTCAGATGAGACTAAAATTGAGCTTTTTGGCCATAAAGGAAAACGCTATGTCTGCCGCAAACCCAACACCTCTCATCACCCCGAGAACACCATCCCCACAGTGAAGCATGGTGGTGGCAGCATCATGCTGGGGGCGATATTTTTCATCGGCAGGGACTGGGAAACTGGTCAGAATTGAAGGAATGATGGATGGCACTAAATACAGGGAAACCTGTTTCAATCTTCCAGAGATTTGAGACTTGGACGGAGGTTCACCTTCTAGCAGGACAATGACCCTAAGCATACTGCTAAAGCAACACTCGAGTGGTTTAAGGGGAAACATCTAAATGTCTTGGAATGGCCTAGTCAAAGCGCAGATCTCAATCCAATTGAGAATCTGTGGTATGACTTAAAGATTGCTGTACACCAGCGGAACCCATCCAACTTGAAGGAGCTGGGGAAGTTTTGCTGGGGCAGTTTTCAAAATGGTCAAAACGGTGCTGAAACGGTGCTGAAATGATAATTTAGGTGACCACACACAACTATTGCTTTAAATTAGTATAATGGTTGGATATGACTTTGGGAATTTCAGTATAAGCCAGAATTTGATACATGCCTTCAATTGCATTAGCTTACTTTATTCCAATATGTTCATCATTCAGTTGATCATAACTAAGGTGTTTTCCTCTCTGCGCTTTTTCTAGGCCCAATGGCTGTTTCCTCGTCTCCTCAGTCTGGTGCCGCCCACCTCTGCCGTGTTGTTCTCAACACCAGAATAAATCAATATAACCTACTGTTTTCTAGAAATCTGGCTTTTTTTTTGGGTTCGGCCTCATTTAAATTCTGTGACGTTGGACCAGGCCTGAGCTCGGGCTTCAGCTCACCGGTCTTGGGTTCTGATGAGAACTCTACACTGCATTCGGGTCTCGTGTGCAGTCCGGCAGTGTCAATCAAGAGAGACTCTCGGACTGAAACATTCACACTTTCATTAATTTACGAAAAGATAGTTAATTTGTGCCACAGTTTAATTTCTGTGACGTTGGACCAGGGCTGGGCTCGGGCTTCAGCTCACCGGGCTTGGCTTCTGATGAGAACTCTACACTGCATTCGGGTCTCATGTGCAGTCCGGCAGTGTCAATCAATAGAGACTCTCGTACTGAAACATTCACACCTCCATTAATTTACGAAAAGATAGTCAATTTGTGCCACAGTTTAGACTACGGATAGATCAGCGTTCTAACTTCCCCTTGTGATAGTGTAGTGCAATGACAGAATTACTCAATTTACCACAATCTGCCACCATCGACCACAAACAGTCAAGGCATAAGCTTGAAACTTTTAAAGGAAGAACCACTGTATGTGCTTTGAATTTATGGCAACTTTGTGTGAAGTAAATATGATAGGCTAAAAGCTTCCTTGCGACAAACTATTTGGATAATGTGCCATCAAAAAGAAAATGCCAATCTGCTGCTGCGCATGTTGTGTATTTTGTGGAATTGCATTAGTGCAACATTGGGGGAAAATGTAGTAATTTTCTGGATCTTGTCCGAATTTATCTCCCTAATGTAGGTATTCAGGCTAATGAGGACTTTCTCCCCTACCTGGAATGGTGTGAGTGTGGTGACACAAGGTTAAGACCCACAGATTATCCGACTACATGTCAGGGTCAGGTAGACTAATGCTGTTGACTTACGGTGTTTAGCAGTGGAAAAAGATAGAACTCTTCACACGTACGTAGGCAAAACTAAAAACACACGCACACAGACACACACGTACAGTATGCACGCACACATAGGATGACGTCATTACGTAATGACGTAAAACTGTGTCATTACGTAGAATACACAATAACGTTACTCAAATTGACTGGCCATCTCTGCGACAAATATGATTTGACATTCGTTAGTTTAGATTTCTTTGTTTATTATCACATTTTTATTTGTAAAAGTAATATAAACACAACACATTTTATATGATCAGATATTTTTATTTTTAAACACAACACATTGAATTATGGAACAATTACACATTACACATTATTGAACAATTACATTTTATTTATTTTCTTATTAACTAGTAAACCTACACATTCTGAACAATTATTTTAAGCAGTGTACTGGTAGTTAGTTAACATGCTACCTAACTGATCAACAATTATAGGTACAAGCTAATAACAAGGTACAGTGGGGAGAACAAGTATTTGATACACTGCTGATTTTGCAAGTTTTCCTACTTGCAAAGCATGTAGAGGTCTTTAATTTATATCATAGGTACACTTCAACTGTGAGAGACGGAATCTAAAACAAAAATCCAGAAAATCACATTGTATGATTTTTAAGAAATTAATTTGCATTTTATTGCATGACATAAGTATTTGATACATCAGAAAAGCAGAACTTAATATTTGGTACAGAAACCTTTGTTTGCAATTACAGAGATCATACGTTTCCTCTAGGTCTTGACCAGGTTTGCACACACTGCAGCAGGGATTTTGGCCCACTCCTCCATACAGACCTTCTCCAGATCCTTCAGGTTTCGGGGCTGTCGCTGGGCAATACAGACTTTCAGCTCCCTCCAAAGATTTTCTATTGGGTTCAGGTCTGGAGACTGGCTAGGCCACTCCAGGACCTTGAGATGCTTCTTACGGAGCCACCCCTTAGTTGCCCTGGCTGTGTGTTTCGGGTCGTTGTCATGCTGGAAGACCCAGCCACGACCCATCTTCAATGCTCTTACTGAGGGAAGGAGGTTGTTGGCCAAGATCTCGCGATACATGGCCCCATCCATCCTCCCCTCAATACGGTGCAGTCGCCCTGTCCCCTTTGCAGAAAAGCATCCCCAAAGAATGATGTTTCCACCTCCATGCTTCATGGTTGGTATGGTGTTTTGGGGGTTGTACTCATCCTTCTTTTTCCTCCAAACACGGCAAGTGGAGTTTAGACCAAAAAGCTCTATTTTTGTCTCATCAGACCACATGACCTTCTCCCATTCCTCCTCTGGATCATCCAGATGGTCATTGGCAAACTTCAGACGGGCCTGGACATGCGCTGGCTTGAGCAGGGGGACCTTGCTTGCGCTGCAGGATTTTAATCCATGACGGCATAGTGTGTTACTAATGGTTTTCTTTAAGACTGTGGTCCCAGCTCTCTTCAGGTCATTGACCAGGTCCTGCCGTGTAGTTCTGGGCTGATTCCTCACCTTCCTCATGATCATTGATGCCCCACGAGGTGAGATCTTGCATGGAGCCCCAGACCGAGGGTGATTGACCGTCATCTTGAACTTCTTCCATTTTCTAATAATTGCGCCAACAGTTGTTGCCTTCTCACCAAGCTGCTTGCCTATTGTCCTGTAGCCCATCCCAGCCTTGTGCAGGTCTACAATTTTATCCCTGATGTCCTTACACAGCTCTCTGGTCTTGGCCATTGTGGAGAGGTTGGAGTCTGTTTGATTGAGTGTGTGGACAGGTGTCTTTTATACAGGTAACGAGTTCAAACAGGTGCAGTTAATACAGGTAATGAGTGGAGAACAGGAGGGCTTCTTAAAGAAAAACTAACAGGTCTGTGAGAGCCGGAATTCGTACTGGTTGGTAGGTGATCAAATACTTATGTCATGCAATAAAATGCAAATTAATTACTTAAAAATCATACAATGTGATTTTCTGGATTTTTGTTTTAGATTCCGTCTCTCACAGTTGAAGTGTAGCTATGATAACATTTACAGACCTCTACATGCTATGTAAGTAGGAAAACCTGCAAAATCGGCAGTGTATCAAATACTTGTTCTCCCCACTGTATATATGCTATCTTATTGAACAAGCAACTTAACTCAAATAATGATGTTAGGCATCTCTCTCCAGCTCTCTCCAGGTTGTTGTGCTGCTTGGCTGGCCTGCTGCTGCCTGTGCACAAGCTGAGCGCCTGCTGCTGACTTCACTCACAATGCACTTTTGAGTGTGTGACAGAGAAAACCGTTGTTGTGTCATTTAGAGGGAAAATGCGTGCATTTTAGCATTTGAGTCACTTTTCAAAAGTTGCTAAAAGTGCCAAATACATTTTTTTAAGTAGCTACATTTGTTGCTAGGTGCTGTTTGAAAAAAAACTTGCCAGGGTAGTCTGAAAAGTAGCTAAATCTAGCAACAAAATTGCTAAATTGGCATCACTGTCTACAGTATGTGGTTTATACTCTCCCAGATGACTACATTACAAATATGCTCTTAACTCCAACCGATAAGGTTATCTGTGTTGTTTTAAATAACTCCTCTAAAGTGCAGGCAGGCTGGCTGTAGACTAGATATACACAAGACAGTGCTCTGCTGTTATGCACCTGCCATTTAGTGAGCTGTCATACAGGTCAGTGTTTAGGGATTAACACACAGGATGACACTTCAGTGACTCATTTTCATCTCCGCAGCCAGTGTGACTGGAGCATCCCTCCCGTTCCTCAGCCGGGTGTGTCACAGAACGTTATCCCTAACCAAACAGAAACATTCTGGGTACCAATTTCTTAGCTGGGTCTCATCAGTGAAGGGGGAGGGGAGGGTTAGGACTGCAAGCTATTGTCCTTAACCTCTACGGGATCGGTGTCCCGTATACGGGACGGTTGAGCTAACATGCGCTAAATTGATTAACATGACTGTTGTAAGTAACAGCAAACTTTCCAGGACATAGACATGTCTTATATGGGCAGAAAGCTTACATTCTTGTTAAATGAAGGTAAATAATGTACTTACATTCAGTAATCTTGCTCTGATTTGTCATCCTAAGGGTCCCAGAGATAAAATATAGCATAGTTTTGTTTGATAAAATCCATTTTTATATTCAAATGTAGGAACTGGGTTCTACAGTTTGAACCCCTGCTGTCTCTGGCTCCACACCCACACCGCCCTGCCATCTAGATGTGTGAAAGTCAGTGTATAAGCTAATGATCCATCATGCATGACATTCCTGGGAGTGTGTAAACTTACATTTTGTATTACCATATCATTTTTGTATGTTCTCTATAGTTATGTACTTGAAAATGAATAAATTGACCAATTCGGCACATTTGGGCAGACTTGATACAAAATAGTCCAGTATTGCAATGCTTCACTGGATCAATCTGAAACTTTGCATACACACTGCTGCCATCTAGTGGCCAAAATTGCGCCTAAACTGCAATATTATATTGTGGCCTTTCTCTTGCATTGCAAAGATGATGGAACAAAAAAATCAATAGAAAACGCATGTTTTTTTGTTTGTATTATCTTTTACCAGATCTAATGTGTTATATTCTCCTACATTAATTTCACATTTCCACAAACTTCAAAGTGTTTCCTTTCAAATGGTATCAAGAATATGCATATCCTTGCTTCAGGTCCTGAGCTACAGGCAGTTAGATTTGGGTATGTCATTTTAGGTGAAAATTTAAAAAAGGGTCAGATCCTTAAGAGGTTGGCCTCTCTGGTTTATACAGGGCCGTGTTGCTGGTGTCAAGCTTTGTCTTCTCCCAAACTGGAAAAAAGCTCCCTGTAGTTAAAATTGTTAAGTGTTAATGACAGTCATCGTTTAGAATGTTAACCCTAAGGTGAATTCTAATCATAGCAAAGACTTGATATAGACAAAAGGTGCCTGCTACTCACTGTACAGCGGAATTCAGCTGTAAATTCAAATTGACAGTGTTTACCTTTGCTTACATTCTCTTACCCTGTTTCCATCTTCCATCTAAGTGCTACATAATCCTTCTGGCCCTAATACTTATTATTCTGCTTTAAAGGGAGCCTTACACAAAGTACATCAATATCATAGATCTTAATGCAATGGCCTCATATTGTGAATGAATTCAGGACACAGGGTTATTTTATAGATCCAATGAGCATTTATTGTCATGATAACATCCCAGAGTTCCAACAGATTCATGTGTCCCATTCGATAAACTGCTCTTTTCATCCTACTGCAGCTTGGAGTGATTTTACTCTTTATTGTAATTTAGTGTCACGAGATGTGACAGCTATGGTGTTGCATCCCCTAAATAATGATAAGGATATAGGACAGATTGTAGACCTGATCAACTGAGGGGCTTTTTTTTACAAAATGTAGGCCACACTAAATGTTTCCTCTCCTTAGGTTACCTCTGTCAACCGGGACATGGGATCAACTGGCTGAAAATATTTGCCCTTTAAAGAGCTGTTTACGGCAGTGTATATACTGTACTTTCATTTGACTGGATATATTGCATAATGCTTTAGAGATGCAGTTGTCTAAAACAGTGATTTGTTTCATTTCCTGTGCATGAAGATGGTAAAGGGGCACAGTCACCAGGGCCGGACTTCCGCATTTGGGGCCCCGGGGCACCTACCTCCAGGAAAACAGCTATTCAAATAAATGTGTCATGACGCTCAGAGATAATTTTGCAGTTTTAAAGCTAATTTCCTGCAATTCTACACATTTTACCATTGCTTATGACATGTTAATATGCTATCTGGGGACCCTCGACCTTCAATGGACACCCAACCCAAAAAACGATAATAATAAATTATTTTTGGGAGGTCGAGGTACTGCGTGCCCATTTAGTAATCCGGCCCTAACAGTCACAAGTGTCAGACTTTACAAAACAACTGACTGACACTCTACCTAATCTTTATGTAGAAACAATGATACTGCACAGACTATATATGGTAGAGTTTATGGTAGAGTTGCCAGACGGAAGCCACTCCTCAGTAAAAGGCACATGACAGCCCGCTTAGAGTTTGCCAAAAGGTATCTAAAGGACTCTCAGACCATGAGGAACAAGATTCTCTTGTCTGATGAAACCAAGATTGAACTCTTTGGCCTGAATGCCAAGGGTCACGTCTGGAGGAAACCTGGCACCATCCCTGCGGTGAAGCATGGTTGTGGCAGAATGTTTTTAATCGGCAGGAACTGGGAGACTAGTCAGGATCGAGGGAAATATGAACGGAGCAAAGTACAGAGAGATCCTTGATGAAAACCTGCTCCAGAGCACTCAGGACCTCAGACTGAGGCGAAGGTTCACCTTCCAACAGGACAACGACCCTAAGCACATAGCCAAGACTACGCAGGAGTGGCTTTGGGACAAGTCTCTGAATGTCCTGGAGTGGCCCAGCCAGAGCCCGGACTTGAACCCAATCGAATATGGAGAGACCTGAAAATAGCTGTGCAGTGACGCTCTCCATCCAACCTGACAGAGCTTGAGAGGATCTGCAGAGAAGAATGGGAGAAAGTCCCCAAATACAGGTTTGCCAAGCTTGTAGCTTCATACCCAACGAGACTCGAGGCTGTAATCGCTGCCAAAGGTGCTTTAACAAAGTACTGAGTAAAGGGTCTGAATACTTATGTAAATGTAATATTTCCATTTTCTATTTTTAATAAATTAGCAAAAATGTCTAAAACCTATTTTTGCTTTGTCATTATGGGGTATTGTGTATAGATTGATGAGGGGAAAAAAACAATTTTAGAATAAGGCTGTAACTTAACTAAATGTAGAAAAAGTCAAGGGGTCTGAATACTTTCCTGAATGCACTGTATGTGGCTGGAGGCACATCCGGACACATCAGATGTACAGTTATGTACCTGTGTTTAGCTCTGTTTGAAGCGGATATGCCTGCAGAACAACATGTCGACATTGTGATACACCATGATCTGAAGGCTTTATATTCCATGCAGGATAATGCTGTTAGTTAATGCTGTTAGTTAATGGTGGGCGGCAGGTAGCTTAGTGGGTAAGAGCGTTGTGCCAGTAACCGAAAGGTCGCTGGTTCTAATCCCCGAGCCGACTAGGTGAAAAATCTGTCGATGTGCCCTTGAGCAAGGCACTTAACCCTAATTGCTCCTGTAAGTCGCTCTGGATAAGAGCGTCTGCTAAATGACCAAAAATAAAATAAAATAAAAATTAGTTGTGGCTGGTGGGCCGAATGCAGATCCCCTAATCCCCTCTTACACGGTGTGCTCGATGAAAATAGACCTCACCTAAGTTTACTCTGTGGGTTTGCCCGTTATTTGTCTTGTTTGCTTGGTCTGTGCTGTCACTGTTTACATAATACAGCTAAATGCACTGCTTGACTTTTTGCCAAACTACTCAATGACTCTTCCTCAGTCTGTTCTTGGATAGGTTTTTTGTTTGTGTGAAATGGTCTAGTAGGTTACAGAAAGGCAGAGAAGCCATTTAAGTGACTGTGTTTCGGAGGACACTCGACCTTCGCCTCTCCCGTACGGGAGTTGCAGCGATGGGACAAGACTGTAACTACCAATTGGATACCACGAAATTGGGGGTAAAATACAACAACAACCTCTCCGTTATTTAGTATGAAATTGCGCAAACGCCAAACATATCGTGGTGCCTGTTGGGATAGCACTTCGCTCTGGAGCCTGCAGCCTTGCTGGCTTGGTCGAAGTGGCTATAGGAGGGTCTAAATAGCCCCCCTTTGGTCATTTTCACTCCCTCATCTTTGGTTCACATATGAAATGGGGGAGGTGCACGTGAATGTGTGTAGATTGAGTTAACCTTAGCCCAGAGATGCAACTGTTTGTAGTGTAATAACATTTACCATTAGACCATTAGATCAAAGACTAATTCAATGAATATTACTCTGAAATATGAGGACTACCATATGTATCCATTTAAATGTAATCAGATGTATTACAGTTATGCAATAAGAATACAATTATAAAATAGTACATACCAGAAGTCTTCAATGTCAAAATACACAAAATATGTAAGTATAAAGTATAAAAACACACTATAGCATACGAAATGTACGTACACCAGGAGATTGGTTTACAATGACTCACTGAATTAAACAACTCAACACTTTTTATCCTTACTACGGCGGGATTCGATCTCAATAACTCCCATCTTTTAATTACCATCACTTTGCTTGGCCCAAAACAATAAAACAAAAGGCATAACAACCTCACATGCATTCTCGAATCGAATCATCACAACTCGATCTAAATGATAGGAGCGCACCTCTGTGTCGCTCCCTATTTGAACTGACCGCCGTCCGGCGAACAGATTAAACAGCAACTCAGTAAAAAGAAATCCATAACAGATACAGGACAATACAACATATCAAAATGTTCAGCTCTTTATGAACTCTTGAAACAATCCAAATGTCAGTTTAATTCACACAGTAACATTATTTTAGTCGATTCATGTTTTCATCTGTCTTCACACCTCTGACGGTGTCCGTACTCCCAGTGTTCCGTGGGAACGTCCCGCCCCGGAGAAAGCCACGGATAAGGTGTGTTTGACTCCTGTGATGGCAAACATATGGCCAGCCATCCGGACAATGTCATAAATTGTAATTGAATCATCAGGCTGGGCCCTGGCGCCGGCAAATCTCAGACACATTTTCATCACCGGCCTTCATCATAGTTCACATTCTTATTTTTCCACTGCACGCGCAAATGGAGGGCTGAGGGGAAGGGACCGGTTTGGGATTCAGCATCATACT